TCTATTGTGATTATTTATTTGAAATACAGTTTGTTTTTTGTTTCTATCCCATTTTTGGACTTTCCCCACCTCTTAATTATATTAATTATACTTTATTTGAATGAATATGCAAGACATTAATATAATTCACAAGCTGAACCTATACAAAGAGGAATACCCAGAGAATTATCACTTCTCCCAACCATTTTTTCTTACACCATTGTCATCCTTCATCCAGCCCACCCCATTCTCAGCCACCCACGGTATACTAGTCTCATTACTTTCTAGTATACTCTATGTTGTATGCACATTTTGCAAAAATGTGAAGCTATATATTTTTTGTGTTTATCATTTTTTAATACAAAAAGTAGAATACTATAAAAATGCTTTGCACTTTGCTGTCTTTCATTTAGTAATATATCCTTAAGATAAGTCCAGATGAGCTCATAAATATCCTTATTATTAATTTTAAAAGCTGCACAATAATCAATTGTGTGAATGCATTATAGTTTGTTTAACCAAATTTTGTGTATGTATAGATTATTTCCAATTCAAATAATATTTTAATAAATAATCTTGAACATATATATTTCCAAATTCTTGGAACAACAATATGCAATTGCTAGAAGCGAATTAATGATCATTTCTAAAGGACTGGTAGATTAAAGGACAAATGCACATGCAGTTTTGTTAGATATTGCCAAATTTCCCTCTCTGGTTTCAAATGAGAATACCAATAACAACCTTTAATTTTTAAATACAATTATCAGTACTGTCTAAATTAAAGCCTAAAATTTTAATTTTAATCTTATACTTAACAAAAAATGCAATGTATAAACTATTAAGTGAAATACGTTGAATTAATGTATTAGCATATTCAATAAATAAATGTGAACTAGCATATTTAGTATAAACATTGATAAAACATGAATCATTCTGAAGCTACTAATAATTTCTTTTTCTTACATCACTTTCTGCCAGAAGTAATATGATCTAACTCTTCCTAATCTGTGACATCACTGGAAGCATCACGTTGAGCTTCTAAATTTTCTATGCAGAAATTTTTCATTCTTAGAATCTTGAAATGTGGTGTTCTAGTACAAAACTCTTGTCATGCAAACAAGTGCAAATGACCACACAGTACGCATGCCAGAACGGCTGGAGTAGTGATTACTGGGGAAAATTCACAGAGGCGGGGTCAGATGGTTAATCTGTTGTCCATTACCATTTAGGTCAGTGTGAAGAGATACAGTAGGTTCAGATATTAGACTGTTAGAGATTTCTATCCTTGAGCCCTGGAGCCTTTTGGTTTCACTATCACACAACATGGATTTCTCCTCTCATGTACTCAGGGGCTGGGATTCAGAAGTGAAATGAACCTTGCTTCAGTTCCATTGTGGTACCTCTGCTTTCTGGTTTGGGGCAGGCTTGGGGGACAGTTACCCCTCCCCTGATGTGGCAGAGGCCTGGGATCTAAGCCAGTTAAAGTCATATGGCATGACAAATAACAGTATTAGGCACACCTGTGTTCATGACTGGGGAAATACCAGTCCTTCCTTTGATATGCTCAGGGACTGATGTTCAAGTTTTGAGAAACTGTCTCAATCACTGGGCCATAGCTTGTTGCCATGGAGCTTTGAAGGGGATTAGTCCCATTTCTGGGAGGTCAACCTGCAATGGATGAGTCTTAAGCAAAGCCTTACTTTTCACTTTTAATTATACATCTTTAAAACAAATTAACAAAACTATGGTTCTGAAAAATTAAGTGATGTGCGTATTTACAGTTGGAGAAAAGCTTGAACAAGATTGTTTTCCTTGTATTTAGAAAAGCATGTTTGTTTTTGTGTTATGCAGTGCTTCTTCTGTTAATACTAAAAGGCTTTAAGATAAGGATGTTTCTTTTTTATTTTTATTTTTTTAAGGCTAATCAACTGGGAAATATACAGAATATAAATACAAATAAAATCAAAATAAAAATACTTTTTTTTAATTAGGAGAATGCATTAAACCATTATCTGCCACAAATGATTCACTGAGCATTTACTAGCAACCTAGCTGGTAACTAATTGGGCTTTGAGGAACAGGCCAAAAAGCCATTATATTGTGATGAGAAAATATTATGAGAACAGATCTTATTCTGTCAATGTTACCTATTGAGTGGCGATTGCCTGTAAATTTTGTAGAATATTTTGAATACCATTAATGTCTATGTTGAGAGCCCCTTTCCAAAACGACTGCTTTACATTACATTATTTTCATAAAAATTCATTTTCGAATCTCATTATTTTCATTTAAAAAGTCTCATATTGATTAAGGTATTATTAGTTGACATATTTGTAGCAGTTACATTATCTTCATAGTTTGTTTTGAGTAAACATTAGCTGTACACCCCCCTGGATTATGATTTTCTCTCTTTTTTTTTCTTTCTTTCTTTTTTTCTTTCTTTTTCTTTCTTTTGACACTGAGTTTTACTCTTGTTGCCAAGGCTGGAGTGCAATGGCGTCGTCTCAGCTCACTGCCACCTCCACCTCCCAGGTTTAAGCGATTCTCCTGCCTCAGCCTACTTCCAGGCACCCGTCATGACGCCCAGCTAATTTTTGTATTTATAGTAGAGATGAGGATTCACCATGTTGATCAGGCTGGTCTTGAACTCCTGACCTCAGGTGATCTGCCCTCCTTGGACTCCTAAAGTGCTGGGATTATAGTTGTGAGCCACTGCGCCCAACTTGGATTATGAATTTCTTATGAAAGAAAATGACTATTCCTAAAGCATAATTTAAAACCAACACATGTATTTAGACAGCCCCTTTTATACTAGAATATTTAAAATTATATTACAGACATCAAAACATCCCAGTGAAAATCAAATTAATATATACCTCTAGCATGGTATTTATCATATTGGGCTGTAATTACTTATGTTTTTATTATTTCCTTGCTTATATGCATTTAATGCTATAAAATGGCACTGAGTTATTAATCTATTTTACTGGACTATAGCACAGTCTTGGATGATTATAACTTTGTTTATTAGTCATTCATTACGTGCCAAGTGGTATTTTAAATAACAGATTATCTAAACAGCTCAAAATATTACTAAAACTAATTAGTTTAATGAGATGACTAGATATAAAATAGGTATAAAAATTTCTTTTTAAAAAATAATAGCAATAACCCTTTAATCATTAAAAATTTATTTCATAACTTTTACATATTTAGGAATTTTTTTTAAAAAAGGAACAAAATGTACATGGGAAAACATTAAAATATTATCAAATGTTTTCTAAGAACATGAAGTATACTCTGAGTAAATGGAGGAGCTTATCACATTCTTAGATAGTAGTTAATCTAAGTTCTAAGTTCTAATCAGAATCCCCCTTTCCTCATCATTTTTAAGAAAAAGGTGATAAATTCACCCTCTTCCACATCGCTCTTTCCAGAGAGAAACCAAGTTAGAGGACAGTGTGAGGGTTTTCAAAGCAGAAGACAAAAATGAGTATATTAAAAAAAATTCTCAGCTGTTTATAAGAGCATCTTCTATCTTTAAAATTTCTATATCTGCTTTATTGGAATTAATAAATTCTTCAAAATTTCTATATCTGCTTTATTGGAATTAATAAAAAGTTGGAATTAATAAATTGCTAGTCAGCAATTTAAAGAGAATTTGCATTTGGAAGCATAGTTATGAATTTTCCTAATGTAAAATTTATATTGTTTGTTTATCAAAAAAGTTATTCTTAATATTCTGTGCCCTTATGTATCTTGTCTCCTATGATTGAGAACAGAATTGATGATAAAGACATTTGTATTCATGTGATAAATACTGAATGATAGCCTACCACATGCACACCACAGTGTGCATGCACTACAAGCCATAGGAATAAATGGTCACAGGTATAGGATAACGTAATATTTAATAGAGAAAGCAGGTTTTCACAAAAGAAACCAAAACAAGAAACCAAAACAAATCCTGTGTGATCCAAGAGGAAAGAGTAATTTCATATGAAACATTGGACTGAAATTAAAATTAAATACAATTCTGACCAGATTGAGTAAGAAAAACTAAGATAAACAAAAGCAAGGAAGTATGAAAATAAATAGGCTGAGGCACGATCAAATGTCAGAAATCATTTAATTATGGGTGCATGAATGTAGAAGGAAGCACAGATGAATAGGAAGGAGGAACTTGAGTTAGCAATGATATCATAATGTTCCCTGAAAATGTTCATTTTGGAAAAGATTCAGCAAAATCTATAAAGTCAAATGTTTGTGGGTATTTGGGGTATTTCTGAAGACATTTTAGTTTAGATTTAGACATTTTCATGGGTTAAAAAACTATATTTTAAAATCATCATCATTAACATTTTGAAAAATTAACTATACAATATCTAAAAATTTGCTATTATTATTGTAGAATGAAGGTAAGCTCAGTGATACAAATTAGATTATGTAAGACAAAACACACATTACTAAAACAACTGTTCAGTTTAGTGGGAGAAAAAGTGTTTTGAGTGTAACTCTTAATTAGCAATTAAATTTTAAAGATTCTAGTATGGAGGGTTTTTTTGTTTTGTTTTGTTCTGTTTTTTTTTAACCAGTCACTAGAGTTAGATACATTTTAAGAATGCTATGAGACTAGCAAAGATTCTCCTACTACCCAAAATCATTTATAAACGTTATTTTTTAGTCACTTCTGTTAAGGACCAGATCAGATCTTCCACCCACAAAGCTAACTCTAATCTTAAAATTCTATCACAAGAACAGAAAACCAAACACCGCATGTTCTCACTCATAAGTGGGATCTGAACAATGAGATCATTTGGACTCAGGAAGGGGAACATCGCACACCGGGGCCTATCATGGGGAGGGGGGAGGGGGGAGGGGGAGGGATTGCATTGGGAGTTATACCTGATGTAAATGATGAGTTCATGGGTGCTGAGGAGTTGATGGGTGCAGCACAGCAACATGGCACAAGTATACATATGTAACAAACCTGCTCGTTATGCACATGTACCCCAGAACTTAAAGTATAATAATAGTAATAAAAAAAAAAATTCTAAAGAAAACTTTGTATTTAAAAGTTTTCAAATGCCACCTCAATAATGGAGTGCTTCATATGAGAACCACTCAAGTGGAATATTCTGTTTGCTTATCTCCCACATTGTCACTGTACCTCAGTGCTCTTGCAGTTACAAAAATAAATATTCCTTTTCTCCCCTAAAATAGGCTTAAATATTTTTAAACATAGTTTATGAGACACTTGGATTATTAAGATTGGGATGAAGAAATGCTAACCTTGTGGAAAAATCAATTTCCAAAGAAATTCAGGGGGAGCTATATATACACTGAATATACTCTGTAATAGGCAATTTATCTTCCAGACACAGCTTAATTTTTGATTTATTCTAGTAATTTGTTTCAAGTCTGGGTCAGGGTATATTTTCCTTTTACTATATTGCTGAAACATTTACTAAATGTTCGTTTAAAATTTCTCCATCTATGCGCATGATGGCAATAGATCTCTATGTATTTTTTCTGTTGAAATGTCGTTAGCTTTAGTACCAAAATAATACTGGTCTCAAAGACTGAATTAAGAAGTATTTTCTCCCATTTAATTTTCTGGAAGAAACTGTAAAATTGCTATTAATTATTATTTTAAGTATTTGGCAGAATCATGTGGTGAAACCATTTGGGGGCCTAGAAATTCCCTTTTTGGAAGCTTTAAGATTATTAATTCAATTTCCTTAATGGCTATAGGATGATTCCGATAATCTGTTTAATCCTGGAGGCATTAGTAGCCCGTGCTATTTCACCATCTGTCAAGTCAGATCTACTTTCTGATTTTCAATAACTTTTTCACTTTTAAAAAGAGTTTTAGTATATGTTTTCTCATCTATAAAATGGGCTTACTTTACCCTGTTGTTATCAATCTAATACTGATTATTCCACTTGTTTGTTTTCTTGGAAAGCTATATTTGTATATTTGGTTGAATTATGTCCTCTTTTTGTTGGCTTAAAAAAAATCAACTAAACCAGTAGGGAGATCAAAATATCAGAAAGGAGAAAGCAAATAAGAGTAGAACTGATTCATTTTTTGTTAAAATTTAACTTTATAGACAACTATTTTGAAAATGTTGCTCTGTTTTATCATTTATCTCAGATGAATCTAGCTGGAGTTAATTATAAATGGTATAAAATATTGCATAAGAATCATATCATATGGTTGCTAGAAAAGTTCTTTGTTTAAAAAGCTGATTACTTTTGTTTAAAAGAAAGGTCATAAGACAAATGCAGATGTAAAGCTTTGAATTTATTGTTTATGCAGGTGAAAACTCAGGTAGTAGGAATGGCAATGATGTTACAGTCTTCTTCTTCAGCATGTTTCAGGTTATATGTAACTCACCATTTGATCCAAAGGCCTGGTGACCTAAATCCTATGGTTATATAGTTTTCAAAATCCTCAATCTGATTCAGTTCATTATAAAGCACTACATTTATGTCAGAGTTCGCAGTTGTCGTCATATACTATGCTACTTTCGTAAATCATTGCCTGAAAGTGATTTCTGTGATGATCCGGGAGAAGATGCGTTGCTCTTTGAATCTAGGAGAAGATGCATTGCTCTTTGAAATCAAATTTGTAACTAACATACATACAATTTCCCCTGGTATGTGTCAATTAAATGATGCAGCCCTTATCCATGTAGTCCTGCACAACGCTCACTAGGCAAATCAGTAAATTTTGTTCTCACATAGGCAAGTAGCTTTGCACTTTTCCTTGAGCAACTCATGTTCACAGCCAGCTGTTTTCTTCAAGGAATCACAGTTACTTAGGAGATCTTGATACTGGCAACTATTGGCTGTAACAAAAACAGATTAGTTATGTCATTATCATTTTCCTCAGTAACAGCAAAACCATACATTGAAAGTGTGTGGGGAGGGGGTAGGAGGGAGCAAACAAGTTAGCATCCCTTACACTCTAATGGGTCTTTCACGTCTTAAGGGACATATGAGGTGTCTTAGTTGAGCTCACTGATAAATCTATCACTGTTTAAATTCTACATTTAGTGATATGTTTCTAAAATAAATTGACCTACTTTTCCCCCTCAGCAAGAAGAATAATATGAATGTAACTAAATCTTTCTATGCCTGCATAGGCAAATATGGGAACCATTAGCTACACATAGGTATCTAAATTAAAATTAAAATTTTAGTTTCTTAATCTTATTAGCCACATTTCAAGTGTTCAAAGTGTGATTAGTAGCACATGTTGATAAGGACTGTTTCCATCATATCATAATATTGGGCAGCATGGCATTACACTCCAATGCTTTTTTTGGAAAAGTTAATAATCTTTATGGGTGGATAAAAGTATAAAACAAGGACAATATGCCCTTTTCCTTTTGATGTTTCTACTTGGATGTTCCCCGGGGACCTCAAACTCAATAAAACTCAAATTAAACTCCTTGTATTAGCTAAAAGGCTGACAATTCTCGGGAGTGATCTCCCTGCATCACTCCCACAATCTAAGGGGTATGACACTCCAACTACTCAGTAATTTAAGCCAGGAACTGGAATCAACTTGAACTCTTTCGTTTCTTCTTTTGGCCCGCACTCACCCAGCACAGGAAATAAACATTGACTGACTATTCTACTTTCTGTCTCTCAAACCTGTCCATTTTTTAAACTCATTTTGCTAGTCCTGTAGTAAAGGCATATGTTTGTCAAAAAGTTTAATTTTAAAATATATAATTGGTATATAACAATTGCATATATTTATTGGGTACAGTGTGATGTTTTGATATATGTATACATTACATCATAAGCAAATCAGGGTATTTAGCACATTTATCACTTTAAACACATTTCTTTCTAATAAGTTAGTTATCATTTCTTGGTGATCACGGTCAAAATCCTTCTAGCTCTCTTGAGACATAATTATTATTAGCTATTGTCACTCTATTATGTAATAGAATACCAAACTTATTCTTCCTGTCTGCAACTGTGCACTCGTTGACCCATCTCCACCCCTTTCCACCCCCGCCTACCCTTTCCAGCCACTGACAATCACTATTTTACTTTCTACTTCTATTAAATTAACCTTTTTAGATTCCACATATTAGTGAAATCGTGCAGTATTTGTAGGAGTGCAAACATCTCTTTGCCACATTGATCTTTCATTTGTAGGTATCTCAGTAGTGGGATTGCTGGGTCATATAGTAATTTCATTTTATTTTTTTGAGGAATTTCCATAATGTTCCTTATAATGACCGTACTAATTTGCACTTCCAGCAACAGTGATAAAAGTTCCTTTGCATCTTTGCCAGCATTTGATTTTCTGTCTTTCTGATAATAGCCATTCTAACCTAGGTGAGATGAAATCTCATTGTAGTTTTTTGCATTTTGCTGATGATTAGGGATGTTGACCATTTTATTCAAATACTTGTTGGCCATTTGTTGTATTCTTTTGAGAAATGTCTATTCATGTACGTTCCTCTCTTTATTCTTTCTTTTTTTTTTTTTTTTTTTTTTTTGAGATGGAGACTCGTTCTGTTGCCCATGCCAGGCTAAATTTTTTATTTTTTCTTTTTGTATTTTTAGTAGAGACGGGTTTAGTTAGCCAGGATGGTCTTGATCTCCCAACCTCGTGATCTGCCCACCTCAGCCTCCCAAAGTGCTGGGATTACAGGCATGAGCCCCCGCACCCAGCCCTTTGCTCACTTTTTAATGTGTTTTTTTCCTACTGAGTTGCTGAGGTCTTTGAATATTCTGGATATTAATCCCTTGTCAGATGAACAGTTTGTAAATATTTTCTTTCATTTTTCAGATTGTCTCTTCACATTATCAGCTGTTTCTTTTGTTGCACAGAAGCTTTTCAGCTTGATAATAATTTAATGTGTCTATTTTTGCTTTTGCAGCCTGTGCTTTGTAGGTCTTCTCCATAAAATCTTTGCCCAGATTAATGTCTCAAAGGATTTTCCCATTGCTTCCTTCAAGTAGTTCATGGTTTACAGGTTGTACATTTAAATCTTGAATCCATTTTGAGTTTATTTTTGTATATGGTGAGAGATAGGGGTCTAGTTTCATTCTTCTGCATATGGATATCCAGTTTTCCCAACATCATTTACTGAAGAGACAGTCCTTACCCCAGTGTATGTTCTTGGTGCCTTTGTCAGAAATCAATAGGTTATAAATGTGTTAATTTATCTTTAGGTTCTCTGTTTCATTGGTATACATGATTGTTTTTATGCCAATACTACGCTGCTTTGGTTATCATAGCTTTGTAGTATATTTTGAAGCCGGAGCCTCCAGCTCTGTCTTTTTCCTCAAAATTGCTTTGGCCATTCAGGGTCTTTTGTGATTCTGTATGAATTTTAGGATTGTTTTCTCTATTTCTGTGAAAAATGGCATGAATGTTTTGATAGAGATTGAATTCAATCTGTAAATTGCTTTGGGTAGTTTGATCATTATTAACAATATTAATTCTTCCAGTCCATGAACATAGTATGTATTTCATTTTTTTCTGTGTAGTCTTCAATTTCTTTCATCAGTGTTTTATAGTTTTTCCTATGAAATATTTTATTTCTTTTGTTAAATTTATTCCTAGGTATTTACTTATTCATTTTGTAGCATTTGTAAATGTAGTTGTTTTCTTGCTTTCTTTTTGAGATAGTTCATTGTTGGTGTATAGAAACATAACTGGTTTTTCTATTTGGGTTTTGTATCCTGCAACTTTCCTGAGTTTATGAGTTCTAAGAGTTTTGTTTGTTTGTTTGTTTTTTGTGTGGTGGGAGTTCTTTGTTTTTCTAAATATAAGATTACGTCATTAGCAAATAGGGAAAATTTGACTTCCTTCTTTACAATTTGGATGCCTTTTATTTTTTTTCTTTTGTCTAATTGCTCTGGCTGGAACTTTCAATACTATGTTGAATAAGATTGGTGAGAGTGGGCATCCTTGTCTTGTTCCTGATCTTAGAAGAAAAGTTTTTAACATTTTACCTTTTAGTAAGATATTAGCTGTGGGCTTGTCATATATGGCCTTTATTGTGGTGAGATATGTTCCTTCCATGCCTAGCTGGTTTCTAGTTTTTATCATGAAGAGATATTGAATTTTATCGAATTTCACCAAATGCTTTTTTTTTTTTTTTTTTTTTTGTCTATTGAGAGGATCATATGGTTTTGTCTTTCATTCTGTCAAGGTGGTATATTTTGTCCAAACATCTTTGTATATATGAGATAAATCCCACTTGATCATGCCATATAATCTTTGTTGCGTGTTGTTGAATTTGTTTTACTAGTACAGTATTTATTGAGGATTTTTGCATCTATATTCATTCGTTTTTGTTGTGCCCTTGTCTGGTTTTTGTATCAGGATAATGCTGGCATTGTAAATGAGTTCAGAAGAATTTCCCCACCCCCATCAAATGTTTTGAATAGTTCAAGAAGAATTGGTGTTTGCTCTTTAAAAGTTTGATAGAATTCAGCAACGAAGTCATCTTGTCCTGAACTTTTCATTGTTGTGAGACTTATTATGGAATCAATTTCATTATTTATTATTGGTCTAATCAAGTTTTCTGTTTCTTCTTGGTTCAATCTTGGGTAGGTTGTATGTATCCATAAATTTATCCATTTCCTCTAGGTTTTCCAATTTCTTGGTTGTTCATTATAGTCTCTAATGGTCTTTTACATTTCTTTTACATTTCTATAGCACCAATTGTGATGTCTGCTTTTCACTTCTGATTTTATATTTTAGTTTTTTTCTCTCTTTTTCTTAGTCCAGCTAATGATCTGTCAATTTTCTTTATCTTTTCAAAAAACTAACCTTTTGTTTCTTTGATCTTTTATATTTTTATATTTTTTGCCTCAATTTTGTTTATTCTTCTCTGATCTTTATTATTTCTTTCCTTTTACTAAGTTTGGGTGTGGGTTGCTCTTGCTTTTCTAGTTTCTTGAGGTGCATCATTTATTAGGGTGCTTATTTGAAACCTTTCTACTTTTTGATGTAGTAGTTTCATGCTGTAAACTTTCCCTCAATACTGTTTTGGCTGTATCCCATACTTTTTGATATAATGTGTTTCTATTTTTATTCATTTGGAAAATTTTTTAATTTTTAAAAATTACTTAATTGACACATTGGTCATTCAGGAGCATCTTGTTTAATTTCCATGTATTTGTATTGTTTTCAAAGTTCCTCTTGTTACTGATTTCTAGTTTTATTGCATTGTAGTTAGAAAAGATACTTAACATGATTTCCATTTTTTAAAAATTTAAGAGTTGTTTCCTGGTCTATGTGTTCTCTCTGGAGAATATCCTGTGTGCTGATGAAAACAATGTGAATTCTGTAGCTATCAAATGGAAAGTTCTGTAAATGTCTGTTAGGTTCATTTGGTCCGGAAAGCTGTTTAACTCAAATGTTTCTTTGTTGGTTTTCTGTCTGAATAATCTGTCCATTGCTAAAAGTGAGGTGTTGAATTCCCCTATTATTATTAAATGATTATCTGTCTTTTTCTTAAGTCTATTAATATTTGCTTTATATAGCTAGGTGTTCTGATGTTGGGTGTATATGTGTTTATAATTATCATATCTTCCTAACACATTGACCCCTTTATCATTAAATAATGGCCTTATAGCTACTTTCTCTTTTTTGGTTTCTATTTGCAGGGAATATCTTTTTTCATCTCTTTACTTTCACTCTATGCATGTCTTTACAGGGGAAATGAGTTTTTTATTGTATGAAGCACATCTGGGTCTTGTTTTTTTTAATCCATTCATCTGTTCTGTGTTTTTTTATTAGAAAATTAAGTCCATTTACATTCAAGGTTATTATTGATAGGTAAGAATTTTACTAATTCCATTTTGTTACGCACTCTCTGGTTGTTTAGTAATCTTTTCTTTCTCTCTTGCTGCCTTCGTTTGTTGTTAAGTGAGTTTTTCTGGTCGTATGTTTTCATCAATTGCCTTTTATTTTTAGTGTATTTTTAGTGTGTATATTATAGGATTTTTCTTTGTGGCTACCATGAGGCTTACAAAAGTTCTTATAGTTATAACAAATTATTTTAAACTAATGATGACAACTTTGATCACAAAGAAAAGAAACAAAAATTTTACATTTTAACTTCATATACCCATGATATTTTTTGACTTTTGAATGTCTCAATTTATACCTTAAGTTATAGTTATTATTTTAACAGTTTTGCTGTTTTAGTCTTCATGGTAAAGATATGAGTGGTTTAAATACCACAACTACAATATTAGAATACTCTAAATTTTTCTGTATGCTTACTTCAGCTAGTGAGTTTTATATCTTTAGATATTTTCATGTTACACTTTAGCATTCTTTTCTTTTAGATAGAAGAACTCCCTTCAGCATTTTTTTTTTCTTTTTTTAGATGGAGTCTAGCTCTGTTGCCCAGGCTAGAGTGCAGTGGCACGATCTCGGCTCACTGCAAGCTCCGCCTCCCAGGTTCACGCCATTCTCCTGCCTCAGCCTCCCGAGTAATTGGGACTACACGTGCCTGCCACCACACCTGGCTAATTTTTTATATTTTTAGTAGAGAGGGGGTTTCACTGTGTTAGCCAGGATGGTCTCCATCTCCTGACCTCGTGATCCGCCCATTTTAGCCTCCCAAAGTGCTGGGATTACAGGCATGAGTCACCGCACCCAGCCTAGCACTTCTTTTAAGACAGATTTTGTAATAATGAATTCCTCCAGAATTTGTCTGGGAGTCCTTATTTCTCTTTTATGTCTGAAGAATAGTTTTGTTGGGTGCAATATTTTAGGTAGGTTTTTAAAAATCATTTTTTAGCACTTGTGTAAATTGTCCCTCTTCCTTCTGGTCTGTAAGGTTTCTACTGAGAAGTCTTCTGATAGGTGTATTGAAACTCTGTTACATGTTATTTGCTTATTTTCTCTTGTTGCTTTTAGAATTCTCTTTTTTCCTTGACCCTTGGGAATTTTATAATTATATGCCAAGGGGTAGTCTTATTTGGGTTGAATCTGATTAATAAACTTTGGCCTTTCTTTACTGGCTATTTCTATCTTTCTGCAGATTTGGAATGTTTTCTGTTTGTTGTTTCTTTCAATAAGGTTGCTACCCCTTTCTCATTCTTTATTAACTCTAGAATCCCAATGATTCTTACATTTGCTCTTTTGATGCTGTCTTATTGATCTTGTAGATCAGTGAAGAAAGTTCATTCTTTTTCCTTCTCTTTTTCTCCTCTGTATTTTCATATAGCCTGTCTTCAAGCTCACTGATTCTTCTGCTTAATGAATTCTGCTGTTGAGACCATCTAATGTTTTTTTCAGTTTATTTATCGTATTTTTCAGCTTCAGGATTTCTGGGGTTTTTTTGTTTGTTTGTTTGTTTTTAATGTCAATCTCATTTTCAAATTTCTCTGATAAATTTCTAAATTGTTTCTCTGTGTTTTATTGAAGTTTATTGGGCTTCCTACAAACAGCTATTTTGAATTCCTTACCCTAAAGACTACACATTTCCATCTTTTGAGGGTTGGTCACTGGTGCTTTACTTAGTTCTTTTGATGAAGTCATATTTTCCTGAATGTTCTTGAAACTTGCGGATTGCTATCTCAGTATCTAGGCACTAAAGAATTAATTATTCTAGTCTTTTCAGTCTGGACTTGTTTGTACCTGTTCTTCAGAAGGCCTTCCAAGAATTTAAAGGAGACTAATGAGTCTCCTAAGATGGCAGTTATTTCATTATTAGATGATGTTCTAAACCCAGATTTGCTGCAAACTTGGTTAGGAGAAGGGTAACATGGACAATTCCCTGGATGCCACAGCTGTCACTGTGCTTTGATGCATCTGAAGTCCATGGACTCTCGGACCAGGACAGAACCAGGGCTTGCCCAAGGCCAGCAGCTGTTATGACTTTCCAGCTACTACAATTCATTTTGGGTCTGAGGCCATTTTAGTTGACCAGTGGTACTGAGACTTGAGACTGCCCCACTGGGGCAGCAGATTCCTTTTTGGTGCTGTGGTGGGTCTAGAGGCTCTATCTATGCATACCAATCTGGATTTAGGAGCTGTGGGTTTCTTACTGGTATGTATTTTGTTGTGGCAGGCCCAGTACTAAATCCAAGGCAGAGTACCCCACACACTTCCTTCTTCCCCCAAGTGGACAGTGTCTCTCTCCACTCTGTGTTACCTAGGATTTATGAGAGGGGTGATGCAGGTAATCCCATGGTCACAGCAGCTGATACCAGCTGATACCATGACAGATGAATTCCAGACTTGTTAGCAAACTGCATTCAGCAAATGTATAAGTATTAAACTATTTTTCTCTTTTATTTATTTATTTATTTATTTATTTATTTATTTATTTATTGAGACATAGTCTCGCTCTGTTGCCCAGGATGGAGTGCAGTGGCTGATCTCAGCTCACTGCAATCTCCACCTCCCAGGTTCAAGCGATTCTCCTGTGTCAGCCTCCCAAGTAGCTGGGACTACAGGCACCCACCACCACACCCGGCTAATTTTTGTCTTTTTAGTAGAGACGGGGTTTCACCATGTTGGCCAGGCTAGTCTCGAACTCCTGACCTTGTTATCTGCCCACCTCTGCCTGATTTATAGCTTTGGTATCATTAATATTCTGAAATATAGCTATATAACTGAGTCAGAAAAAATGCTTAGTAAAGGTGAGTACATTGAAGAGGTAAAAGTTTCAGTGATTGTGTCAACTTTATCATTCATAATAATTTTAATAAAAGTATCCCAACTACAGAAAACCAGCAGCTATTTTTACTTCTATTCATGGCAACTTATTAAATGAGATATATGATATGTATTTCATTTTCTCCTTTTGCAAAAATATGTGCACAGGTCCTATGAGCCAATATTGTATATAGATAGAGTTTTGTCATAAAAATATACACAAAACAATTATGAAATTATAGCGCAAGTAATCATTTATTAAGGCAAACACTATGATCCTAATTACACTATAAAAAAGAAGTGAGGAAATCAGCATGACAAACACATTAGCACAAATAAACAGTAATATTTGGCGTGCCTGTCTAGACTGAGTCATAATTTGGTCTCACACCTTAGATTTATACATTTTGATTCTTTTAAAATACCGCTTTTGGTACAGTTAAATGAACTTTGATAATTGAACTATTTACCAAACGGTGTATGGTTAATGTTAATGGGCTCTGCAGAGCCACAAAAACACATTGATGATAAATACTCCATTATGTTACATAGGGCAATATGCTTTTCATTACAAATAATATGTAGCTCCTCCAGTGTGTAAAATGTTTTTTTAAGCATACTTTGTTGAATATTTTTTGGTTTTTTTCATAAATACATTATTTCAATTCATTACTTTTGGAGTTTTGTTAAATTATATAAAGAAAAGAAAATATCAATTATATAATAAATAATAGCAAGCTAATCACTTCAAACTTACTGCATAGTCCTTGGTCACAGTTATCAGGGCAACTGGCACAAGGTGTTCCTTGTTGGTAAGGAGTATTCTTTCTACTCACATTATTACCACTGAAATTTGAAATACATGTCAAATATTTTTCATTTTACTGTTTATACTCTAAGGGCAGTATCAATCATCAAATATATATAAATAATTATTCAGTGTTTTTAGTATGTTAACAAAACTGAAAAATTACAATTCCCAATGAGTATTTCAGATAACAACCCAAATTAAGAAAATGCTTCACACATGGACATATCTTCTTGACCATAATTTCACAGGCTGGGTAACTAAATTTGATGAAAAGGGTCTGAAATTTTCAGAGTATATTCAGTGTGGCGACACTATCTTTATCTCCCAGTATATTTAGTCAAATTACTAAGGCAGTGTATCCCAAGGTGCCAATAAGGGACAAAACATATCTTGTAGAGGGAAAGGACAAGATCCTAGGAGTACCAGGTTGTAGCAGGAAATTAATACGCAATGTTAAAATAGCATTTTCCATTTGAAAAATGGAAGACAAACCCATAGTGTCCTAACAGAAACTATGAAAAATATACCTCCAGAGTATTTTTTTCTTCCAGATGGAGGTTGAGATTTTTCAGTAGTTAGTGGTGTGTTTGTAGGAGTGTGCTTAGGAAGGTTTGTGAGTTTGTAGAGGTGGCATGTATGAGATTTTTACATTGACCAAAACAGAATATTAGTTTTTGTTATCCCAGAACTTAAAGTAAAAGAAAAAAAAAGAAAAAAATTACAGAAAAGTTTTGATAAATACCGATATCCAGGATATAATAGTTTTGCAATGACTTACCATAAGTTAATGATGATCATTATTCTATTGGCCATTAAATTCATTTAAAAATATGTAGGAGTCGAAATCTCAATAGACCAAGTGGGCTAAGGACCCAAGGAAGTGCAGCTAAATCTCAGTCTCTTTGCCTAGAATATAGCTGTATGTGTATGAGCTCTTGGAAAATTGTGAAACAGATACAAAAGGATTTTCAAAGTTCTAGTTCCCTTGACTTCCCTCATGATCTATTCCAACTGTCACTTCTGACACCTGGCTGCGGATGCCTCCCTTCTGAGGGCCAGTCAGTGAGTGTGGATACATCCTCCTAGGGCCTTTCAATTCTCTCTACTTAAATCCTAATAGGTACTTGAAGGAAAATGACTTGGGAGGTTATACTTCTCAAACTGGAACCCTATATCATCTTCGTTATCTACAGTCTCGAAACAAATCCTGTAGTTGTGTCCCCCACCGCAGCCTCCAGTGGTAAAGAATTTCAAATATTAAATTTTAAATTAACATATGGTGAATATCTCCTTAAAATATCCATAGGATTTATTGTGGATAACTCTAAACGTATTGTTTAATGAAGGAACACTTTTACTGCTACAAATCAAACTTTACAAGATAGTTAAAGAGCTTTCTGTGAACAATTCTGAGAATCAGAGACTTAAGATGTTATCCTTTCTGTATTCTGAAACAAAGGTGTCCTGAAAAGCCATTGAAATCCAAATGAATGAACCATTTGTAATGGTAATTGTGAATGTTTGTGTGTGTGTGTGTGTTTTACATCAGCAGAAGTAGGAATATTGGAGCAGAAAGGGCCAAAATCACAATCCATCTTCCATTTGCAATCTCACCAGCACCCTGAAGCATCTATACTCCTAGAATATGAAATTAGCAAGACATGATGATACTAATTCTAGAGAAATATATATTACACATGCTCATAGAGTAACCCTAAGCTGAGGGAAAGCCAACTGAAAGAAAAGACATTATTCTGTGAATGAGGAATGATTCAGTTTTTATAACAAACTGAGAAGTTGTTCTCCTCTGAGAAGTTGAAAGTGTCTCAACCTTAAAAAACATTTCCAAACGTTTATCCCCTCCCCTTTATTGAGGTATGTTTTCATTCTGGTTTAAGATATGAGAACTATTAAAAAATAAATTACAGATAGAATTATTGCCATTAAATGCTAAACAGTCTACTTACGCAGGACAATATTGGCAAACATAGAAGTATTTTAGAGCATCTTGATTGGGACAATAGGCAATTCCACAGCCTACCTGGTAAGTCGAGTACCAAACAAGCTGCAAATTAACAATGGAATAAATATACAAAAGTACATTAGAGAAGAGGAAAAATATATAAATAAATAGTGGCAAATATAAAACTGAAAAATGTTAGTTTTAGTTTATAGACATACACCATACAAATATTTAAATTATTGAACCAAAGTCATAAATTTTAAAAATATTTAATTTTCATGTACATTCATCACTTTAAAATTTATAATGTAGGAACAATACAGAGTATGCTTTCCTACTAAGAGTTTGGCTGACAATGGACAAAAATGACAGCTCTACAGCAGCCAAATTCCAAGACTGTATTCTTCCCACTCGGACTGTTCTCCTAAATTGAACATTGCAGTGGTCATAATTTGGGGAAGCTTTCCTATTAGAACATTTGTGACATAGGTATTTTCATGCATTCTTCTTACCTGAGTATAATGTCCAACAACTGCATTGGGACTCTTTGGTCCTACACCATAGACAAAATCTAGGCTCTCGTCATACCAGCTTTGGATTGCAGCTGACCAGGAAGTAGGGTCACTTGACATATAGAGATTCTCGCCACATTTTGTACCTAAGGGGCAGATCATTCATGAGCAAGGTAATAAACATAAAATGGTAAAAGAAATTGACTACATAAACACAAAGATGTTGCCTTTCAAACCCAGGGTCCAGCAGATGCTAACTGTTGATTAATACATAAAGGAGTGCTTCAGTTCCTTATCAGCTGTAAAGCCGATAAGAACACTGAACTGCCTAACACACTGAGGCTGGCCTGACCACATAAAACTTTGAGTAGGCTAACACTCTGCTCTTTAAAAATCCTTGCATGCCAAATTTTCCACGTGTATGCCTTGAGTGTTCCTAGCTTTATATGGTAAGCTTGCTAAAGGCAGTGACCAATTCTTACATTTTGTCTTTTGCTCTAGTAACCCTCAACAGAGATTTTTCAAATAGAGGACCCTAAATAAATGTATATGACTTTGTGTGAAATCTGAAAAAAAGACATTATAGGCTGTTTTTAAGAGTCCCAAGAAAGAGAAAACTGACACCAGGAAGGATAACAGTTTTCAAAATTTATGGATGTTCTCTTAACCAGGAAATCAGATATCACAAGCTGAAATCCTTGTGAGTTTGTCAAGAAGTGCCTTACAGCCCAGAAACACTTCGTAAGTTATTTGGGCATTTACTAGATTTTATAATCCTTGATAAGTCTTTTAAAAACTCAAATGTAGCATTCTGTGCATTGTAGGTATCCAGTCCATACAAAATACTTGATTGCCTCATATTAAAAATTTTTTAAATAATATATTCAAAAATATTCATTTTTATAGAAATTTTGAATATGATAAATTTAAATCCACTTTATCCACTTTTATCCACTTTAGATCAAAAAAGGAATAATTCATCATATGTTCAATATATTTTATGGATACAAAAGAATAGATTTCAAAACATCCAACAGCTACATAAATTAACAAAAAGGGGAGTGGGTTAGAAATAGAAAGCTTGGTTAAAAATTTCTAGTACGGCACTGTTTCAGATTATGTTCTTGGGTGAGTCACTTTTCTTTCAAATTCTGGCTTTTCTAATCCTTACACTTACAAAAATAAAGATGACATAAAATCTGCTGTATTCATGAACTGGTTGCAAGAAGCAAAATTATTTGCATAATGTACACAATAAAAACGCACAACATTGTTCTTACTGTAAATATCCCTCTGTATACAGATACTTTGACTTCAAAAAGACAGCAGTATAAGTAACATTTATTTTCAAAGTCTTCTTATTATAGAGCATCCTACAATGCTCTATTATTGTTTTATTCATTTATTTATTCAACAAATATTTACTAATTTACATACTGGTTTTGCGGTCCTCTGGATCACTGTGCTGTAAAGTGCACTTGTTTGCCCACCTTTGGGCATTCGCTGTTACCTCTTTGCTCCATTCCTAAACGTCACAAGAAAACAAAATACACTTAACGATTCAGCCACAATGAAACATACACTCTATAATCTGATTTGTAAATAGTTTAAAATTTCTGTAGATGTATTCTCTAATACTACTGTTATTAAAATATATTTAAGTGTTTTTATCTGTTCTGGTGCCAGTTTACACATGAAGGGTAGTCCATAGGTAATATATCTAAAAGGCAAAATAAGACAATAATATGTGATTATTTATGATAGCAAAGCAGCCATACCTAGGATATTTATTAATGATGCTAGTGTAAATACTGATAAGCAGGTGAAATATCCTCATTATATTTTAATAGTAATAAGCTGGCCAACGTTATTTCCAATTCCATTTGTTTTCACATGTAGGCCATTGCTTTCGTATCAGAGATACCTGTCTTTCAGGGACTGTGCCCTGGGAAGTGGGCTTTTACTCACAACAGCTGACACCCTGAAGGAAAGGGGATTTCTTGATTTTAAACCAGAAAAGAAAATGAACAAAAAGTGTAATTATTTAACACTGAATGCCTGAATATTTGACTTCCAATTCTGCCTTCCAAATTTAATAACCCTGTATAATTGACGGTTTTTTTAAACCATTGTAAAAAAAAAAAAAAAAAAAAAAAAGACACAACTTTGTAAACCACAAAGTTCGTAAGAGATGCCAGTGGCCAGCCGTCTGCTCCTGCCACAGCTGGTTCACACCTATTTCGTTACATCACTGCCTCTTACCATCTTTAGCATGTTACTGGCAGGTGGAGAGACTCCTTTCCTTAGTTCATTGTGTTTATTTACAATCTCCCTTTGCACTTGCCCCTGGGTGGTTAACAAAGCAGTAAAAGCGGGATCCTAAAAGAAAATAAAATTAGAATTATTATTTGACAATGTTGTAAATTTCATATAATAGTGAATAAGTTAATGCAAGAGAACAAAGTCACTTTAAAAAGTGCAAAATATTTAGTTATCATGTACATATATTAAATATTACAAATATTTAAATATTAAAAGTCAACATTAGTTGTTAAGCATTGTCACTAAATCTGAGTTGAAGATATAACTTTTAAATAGTAAAGTAGTAGATTGAAATGTTTAAATAGGAAAGTAGTAGATTGAAGCTTTGGGAATTGTAACTCATGGCATGACAAACTAAAAACCCCTCGGAGGCCACAAATGCCGATTTCTGTTTCAAGGGAACTTTTCAAAAAACAGTTTTGGGGGAACAGGTGGTAAACGGTTGCATGAATAAGTTCTTTACTGGTGATTCCTGAGATTTTGGTGCACCCATCACCCAAGCAGTGTCCACTGTATCCAACGTGTAGTCTTTTATTCTACGCCCCCCCCCACCCTTTCTCCCAAGTCCCCAAAGTCCATTGTATCATCATCATTATTATTATTATTATTATTATTATTTTGACGTAGTCTTGCTCTGTCCCCTAGGCTGGAGTGCAGCGGCGCCATCTCAGCTCACTGCAAGCTCCGCCTCCCGGGTTCACGCCATTCTCCGGTCTCAGCCTCCCGAGTAGCTGGGACTACAGGTGCCCGCCACCACACCCGGCTAATTTTTTGTATTTTTAGTAGAGACAGGGTTTCACCATGTTAGCCAGGATGGTCCCGATCTCCTGACCTCATGATCCGCCCGTATAGGCCTCCCAAAGTGCTGGGGTTACAGGCGTGAGCCACCGCGCCTGGCCTCATTGTATCATTCTTATGCCTGTGCATCCTCATAGCTTAGCTCTCACTTATTAGTGAGGACATATGATGTTTGGTTTTTCCATTCCTGAGTTACATCACTTAGAATAATGGTCTCCAACTCCATCCAGGTTGCTGCAAATGCCATTATTTCATTTCTTTTTATGGTTGAGCAGTATTATATGGTGTGTATATATATATACACACACACACGGTATGTATATATATGTATACATTATATATTATATATATACACATATATATCACATTTTCTTTATCCACTCATTGATTAATGGGCATTCGGGCTGGTTCCATATTTTTGCAATTGTGAATTGTACTGCTATAAACATGAGTGTGCAGGTGTCTTTTTTTCATATAATGAATTATTTTGCTCTGAGTAGATAGTCAGTAGTGAAATTGCTGGATCAAATGGTAGATTTATATCTAGTTCTTTAAGGAATTTCTATACTGTCTTCCATAGTGCTTGTAATAGCTTACATTCCCACCAGCAGTATAAAAGTGTTCCCTTTTCCATATCCACACCAATATCTATTATTTTTTAAATTCAACTATGGCCATTCTTTTAGGGATAAGGTGTTAGCCTCATTGTGGTTTCAATTTGCATTTCCCTGGTAATTAATGATGTTAAGCAGCTTTCCATATGTTGATCAGCCATTTTTCTATTTTATTTTGAGAATTGTCCACTCATGCCCTTAGCCCACTTTTTGATGGGATTTTTTTTTCTGATTTGTTTGAGTTCCTTGTAGATTCTGGATATTAGCCCTTAGTTGGATAAATAGTTTGCAAAGATTTTCTCCCATTCTGTGGGGTTTCTGTTTACTCTGCTGATTATTTGTTTTGCTGTACAGAAGCTGTTAAGTTTAATTAAGTCCCATGTTTTTATCTTTGTTTTTATTGCATTTGCTTTTGGGTTCTTGGTCATAAGACATTTGCCTTGGTCTTAGACATTTGCCTAAGTCAATGTCTAAAAGAGTTTTTCTGATGTTATCTTCTAGAGTTTACATGGTTTGGTCCTAGATTTAAGTATTTGATCCATCTTGAGTTGATTTTTGTATAAGGTAAGAGATGAAGATTCAGTTTCATTCTTCTACATGGATCTTGCCAATTATCCCACCACCATTTGTTGAATAAGGTGTCCTTTTCCCACTTTATGTTTTTGTTTGCTTTGTTTAAGGTCAGTTGGATGTAAGTATTTGACCTTATTTCTGAGTTCTCTACTCTGTTCCACTGGTTTATGTGCCTATTTTTATTCAGTACCATGCTGTTTTGGTGACTATAGCCTTGTAGTATAGTTTGAAGTGGGGTTATGTGATACTTCCAGACTTGTTATTTTTCTTTTGTTTTGCTTTGTCTATGCAGGCTCTTTTTTGGCACCATATCAATTTTAGGATTGTATTTTCTAGTTTTGTGAAAAATGATGACGGTATTTTGATGGGAATTGCGTTGAATTTGTAGATTGCTTTTGGCAGTATGGTCATTTTTACAATGTTGATTTTATCCATCCATGAGCATGGGATGTGTTTCCGTTTGTTTGTGTCATTTATAATTTCTTTCAGCAGTGTTCCACAGTTTTCTTGTAGAGGTCTTTCACCTCCTTGGTTAGGTATGCTCCTAAGTATTTGATTGTTTTTTCAGCTGATGTAAAAGGTATTGAGTTCTTGATTTGATTCTCATCTTGGTCGCTGTTGGTGTATAGCAGTACCACTGATTTGTGTACATTGATAGCTAAAGATAGGACCCCAATATGTTCTGGCTTATAGGGTTTCTGCAGAGAAATCTGCAGTTAATCTGGCAGGTTTTTCTTTGTAGGTTACCTGATGCTTTTGCCTCACAGCTCTTAATATTCTTTTCTTGATCTTGACTTCAGATAACCTGATGACTATGTGCCCAGGTTATGATCTTTTTATGAAGAATTTCCCAGGAGTTCTTTGAGCTTCTTGTATTTGAATGTGTAGGTCTCCAGCGAGGCCAGGAAAGTTTTCCTCAATTATTTCCCTCAAATAAGTTTTCCAAACTTTTAGATTTCTCCTCTTCCCCAGGAACATCAATTATTCTTAGCTTTGGTCACTTAACATAATCCCAAAACTTCTTGGAGGCTTTGTTCATTTTCTTTTTATCATTTTTTTTTGTTTTTGTTAGAATTCAAAAGCCATATCTTGAAGCTCTGAAATTCTTTCTTCCACTTGTTACATTCTATTGTTGAAACTTTCCAGTATTTTTTGCATTTCTCTAAGTGTGTTTCATTTCCAGGAGTTGTGATTGTTTTTTATTTGTGACATTTATTTTTCTGGAACTTTTTTCATTCATACTTGCATTACTTTTTAAATTTCTTTGAGTTGGTTTTCACCTTTCTCTGGTTCCTCCTTGAGAAGCTTAATAATTAACCTTCTGAATTCTTTTTCCAGCAATTCAGAGATTTCTTCTTGGTTTCAATCCATTTCTGGTGAGCTAGTATGATCTTTTGGGGGATGTTATAGAAAACTGTTTTGTCATATTACCATAATTGTTTTTCTGGTTCCTTCTCATCAGGTAGACTATGTCCAAGGAAGGATCTGTGGCTCAAGGGCTGCTGTTCAGGTACTTTTGCCTTGAACCCTTGATGTGGTACTCTCCCCCTTCCCCTAGAGATAGGGCTTCCTGAGAGCCAGACTGCAGTGATTGTTATTGCTCTTCTGGGTCTAGCCACTCATCAGAGCTACTGGACTCCAGGCTGGTACTGGAGAGTGCCCGCAGAGAGTCCTGTGATGTGATCCATCTTCAAGTCTCTCAGCCACAGACACTGACACCTGCTGCAGTGGAGGTAGCAGGGGAGTGAAGTGGACTCTGAGAGTCCTTGGTTGTAGTTTTGTTTAGTGCACTGGTTTTCTTGAATGTTGATTATGCTAATAGTGAAGTTGTCATGTGGACAGTCTCAGGACCTCTGGTTAGCCACGATTGTTACAGGCAGTGGAATTAACTGTTGTTTTCTCCTTCATTGGGGTAGAGTTGTTCTGTTATGAGTTGCTGTAACAGCCTGAGTTGGTTTCAAGACAGCATAAGCTGTGGTAGTATGAGGGGATACAAGTTTGCTCTAAGGTCTCCTGGATAGGTATTCAGGTTTTTCAGGTGATGGACAGGGCCATAGAGCTCCCATGAGTTTATATCTTTTGTCTTTGGCTACCAGGTTGGGTAGAGAAAGACCATCATGTGTGGGCAGGATTAGGCTTACCTGAACTCCGACTCTCCTTGGTGGGGGCTTCCTGCAGCCACTGTGGAAGATGGGGGTGTGGTTCTCAGGCCAAAGGAGTTATGCTCCAAGGGGGCTATGGTTGCCTCTGCTGCTTCATACAGGTAACCAGGGAAGTGGTGGAAAGCCAGCAGTGACAGGCTTCACTAAGCTCCTACTCAACCAGCAAGGCCAGTCTCACCCCTGCTATGCTCCCTCAAGGGCCAATAGAGCTGAATTTATATCCAGGTCTCTGTATGCAAGGCTGAGATCTTGGTCCAGGCTACAAGCCTCCCCAAGGAGACAGTAAGCAGGGCTTTCAGGGCTTTCCCCACTTCCCACCTACTGCAGCTTCTGTACTCATATCTGTACTTCCCATTCACAATCCCAGATCTGCCCAGAAAAATTTGTACTTGGTCAAAATTATTACAAAGTTCAGCTGGAAGTCTCCTCCCTGTGGCCCTTCCCTAATTCCACTGGCTTCCCTCCTTGAGGATCTCTGTGAGATAAAGTCAGAAATGGCTTCCCTGGGCTTCTGTGGGGACTGAGATTGCCTACAGGGCTCTTCTCACTGCTGCTTCTTCTTTTTTATTTTGCATGGCTCTCTAAATTCGTTTCAGCTTTAAGTAAGGTTAAATCCTTCTCCCATGATCTGGATTTTCAGCTTCCTCAGTGAGGATGTGTGTTTAGAGGCAGATTTTCTTCCCTCACACTGTGGGCACTCACAGTGTTTCAGTGAACTCGCAGAGTTTGTAGTGGCAAGCCACTTCTTTCAAAGGGTCTCTGAGTTCTTTCAGTTTTCCTGCCGTGCCCCTGCAGTGGTTCTTGGAGCAAAAGCTCATGATGTGAATCTCCACATATTGTTCTGTTTATCCACATATTGTTCTGTTTATCCACATATTGTTCTGTTTATCCAAGTGGCAACTGCAAGTTAGTCATGCCTCCTATCTGCCATTTCCCCCAGCAGGGGAACTTTTAATAGGATTTGTATAGACATAAGAATAATAATATTTTATAACTACAAGCATGCAAATTAAAAACCTTGAGATATATTCATTCACATTTGATCAGGCTCCAAGGTAGGGTAAAGCTGGAGCCCATGATTCATCCTAAATTTTATGGGGCATTTTTCCTTGACATGGTATCTGCCTTTAAGGAAAAATGTTTAGGCCCAGTTGAAGTGCATGTCTGCATTCAGTACTATAGTAAAACCATTATACCTATTATGTAGCAAATTTTATGGGTTGCATAAAAGATAACTTCGTAATACTAAAAAAAAAAAAAATTAAAGCAATTTGGAGGAATCAAATCTATTGCTGACTTTGTTCCTTTTAGTAACAGAAACATAACTGATAAAGTATTAAATTGGGCGCTAATATGTTTGGTTTATCTTTGTGGTTGTATATTTGTCTGTGTGTGTGGTACGGGGCCTGCTAAGCCTGGAGGTGGAATAGGGTCTGAAAATTGCTGGATCAAGGTCCAAGCAATTTGATGACCTAAATTTACACACGAGTATGATGTTATATAGGTATGAGCAAGATTTTGAAGTATAAGTCTAAAAGGAACAGGGCCACTTACAGTTTTTTTCTGACACCTTGCAATAAGTTATCCTCCTCTCCTCCCATACTGAGTTCCCTTAAGGCTCTCACAATTCTTACACTATAGGTCTGAGCACATTATTGCCATTATCCACTATATATGAATTTCTCTTTCCTGCTTTTGTGTTCCTAACAACAGGGACTGATGGCGGATGCCATTGTACCAATAAATATGGCAAAGTTACTGATTCATAAGTTAGAAAAGATGTGCATATAAAATATCAGTAGAAGCAGATTTCTGCATCACATCAAAGCATAAAATAACATCCCTGGATATTTCCTCTTGACCTAAAAAAATCTGGTTATGGTGGTTTCATTTCAAAACACATAAAAAGTTAATTTCTAAATTATTTCCTGCTTCTCACACCTTCTTGCTTTGTAGATAAAATTGTACTGAAAAAGAGATGTATTTTTAAATGTGTTAATAAAGCTATTACCTGACTAGAAACATTAAACATATTGAGAATAAAATAAATATGGTATCTATCCTTAAAGAGTTTACATTGAATAGGTGACGTGACATAAGTAAAAATTACAATACACATAACAAAACTGATCTTAGGGATCTACAAGATAGAGAGGAAGGAGGGATCAATTCTTCTTTGAAGTCAGGGAAAGCTTCATAAAATGTGATTCTGGGGTTTTGAAAGATGAATAGAGTTTTCTAGGTATCTTGAAAACATCAGAAAATCATACTGGGCAGAGTGTTTACAGAGCATCTGATTTCAAACATTTAGTGGTGCCAAAACAAAATGACATCTCACTTTTTAATAATTTTATAAATGAAGACCAGGAGATGAGCCAGAGAGGTTAAAGGGGATTGGAAAGGGGTATGAAAGAAAATCTTTCGGTGAAAGAAATGAAAAGAACAGCAAATTATTTGAATGAGGTCGTAGGTGATGAATAAATTACCTGCACATTGATAATTTAATTACAGTAATACAATGACTATATTTCTGAACGCCAAATGAAGTTTGAACTGAGTGCCAGAGTCCTCCAGTCTGAAAAGTCCTAGTGAGTCTAGTGTGCACGGAGTTAATGGAAGATGTGACAACAAACAGCAATGCCAGAGCTATTTCAGAGGCTTCCTGGCTAGGAGATACACACTGTATGTGAACACTGCACATTTTATCATTGAAGATTGCTGACCATATTATAGAGTCAATTCAACAAAGTAGCATATTAGAAATAACTCTAGGATCTGAATTCAAAATCCTCTTGGCCCTTCACATACTAACTCTATTACCACTACTAAACAAACCACTAAGACCTTTAAAGTTGGCATTTTTGTTTTCTTAATTAAAAATATAAATCTAGTTATTCTTATACCCTAACTATAAAAATTAAATGTTTTTGTTTTCTTAATTAAAAATAAAAATCTAATTATTCTTATACCCTAACTATAAAAATTAAATGTGCTAACATAGTGGAGAAGTTGTGCTAATTTAATATTGTATAAGTATATTGTTAATTTTGTATGGTGATCTCATTAAAAAGAAATAAAATTAAGGAAATCAGAAAATAGATTGGGGTAACAGAACTATCATCAGCTTTCTAACCCCACAGACCAGTGATGTTTATTAGAAAAATAATTTCAACATGATATGCCATTTTAATTTTTAAGTGATATTAATTTAAATAATATATTTTATTTGTAATGAGTTAGGTGGTAGTCTCCAAAAAGATATGTCCATGTCCTTATGCTCAGAAACTGTGAATGTGATCTTATTTGGAAAAAGTCTTTGCAGATGTAATTAAGGATCTCAGGATGAGATATCCAGTTGTCCCTGAATGTAATGACAAGTGCCTCTATAAGAGACACACAGAGAGGATAAGATAATGTAAAGATGGAGGCAGAGATTGGAGTGATGCAGCCACAAGCCAAGGAATACCAAGCAGTGGGAGAAGCCACCAGAAGGTGGGGAAAGGCATGGAACAGATCCCTCCCTCTTAGATCCTCCAGAGGGAGCTAAGCCCAGTAAATAATTTTATTTTAGATTTCTGGCCTCCATAACTGTGAGAGAATAAGTTTTTGCTGTTATAAGCCACTTAGCTTGTGGTAATTTGTTGCAACCACTCTAAGAACCTAATATATTATTTAACTGAATATCTAAAATATTATCATTTCATCATGGAGGCAATATAAAAAAACGAGATTTTTCTTCTTTCTTTGTTCTAAATGTTTGAAATCTGGTGAATTTCTTACCATCAGAGTACATCTTGCCTGTTCAAACTTCATTTCATGTGTTCAGTAGTCACATGTGACTGGTGGCTAGCATACACATGCAGAACACATACAGCATAGCCTTGGCCTTTCATCTGAATAATTGTGTTAAGTGGTCTGAGAACTCTGAGAGAACCAGTGGAAACTCTGACATACCAAACTCTCTTACCCTCTTTTACTTTCAAAATAGCCTGCCATACCACAAAGTTGCTGGATAGCTCTGAAAAGATTTTCCATTTTAACCTTACCTTTCCTTCTGCAGGTAAAGATGGAAGCAGCACCATAACCAGAAACAACACCGGTAGTAAAGCCATTGCTGAAAACTAAGTCAAGAAAAACAAAGGTCTGCATTGAAACAAGTAGTTTAAAAACTTCTAAGAGGGAGAATACCAATATAATCTCGATTATTTCAAAGGAACTGTGATTCCCAGATTCGTTAAGAATGGAATAAAAGAAGAATTGCCGTATAGTACCAGTAGAATCATAATGAGGCCAACCTTGTCTCTGATAATGACAATAAAAAAATAAGCTGAAGAATTCTACTGATGCCCTTGAGGTACATCTATAAAAGATAGAGACATACTCCCTTCTTTCTGCCTACTTCTGCTACCCTTATGCCATCAAAAAGAAAATAGATTCCTGAATAGTTAATTATAGTACTGACAATTACTGACATTCATTCTTCATCTCAATTTTTGGAGAAAAGTTTGTTTTTAATATGTACCATCTCTCAATTGGCTATTCTACATGAAAAGTATAATGGTTTGTCCTTTTATTTATACCAGACTCTAATTAAGATGACAAGGTTGTGATTACACAGATATGGCTGTACAAATACTTTATTACTTGTTATTTCCCTAACGGAGTAACTAGAAGTTACATCTATTTTCTTCCTTATACTTATACTTGTGAATATTTTCAAATTTCTCTGTATAGAAAAAATACAATTAATGCATTGAAATATATAGCTTGTTCAAGTTTACTCAATCCATTATTTGGTACGAAGATTGTTTCATATTTCCATTATCTCCTAAAAAGATACTCAGAATTTTGTTACCCATGTTGTCCTTTCTCAAAATGTCAAAAAATCCTACATCCTTCAGATGAAGCAACAAGACCACTTAGTTTCAGAAACACTCACCTTTCTGTCATTAGACATATAAATTGTTTACTTTGTAAATTAGAGTTATGCTCCCTAGATTTGTTTCATGTGTGTGGGATTGGCACTCCCAAATTCTTGGAAGGAAAGAAAATTCCAAACAATTTATCTGTGATACTTCTCAGGCTTCACTTACTGTAAATAGTGTATCATTGATACTTGTTCCATCCATTGCCTTTATCCTCAATGGTATGCAAAAAAGGGATGAGGGATGAACAATTTATTGAAGGTTTGTGGAAAATGATGTACAATTTCACTCCCATACCTTACTGGGTATTACTATTTATATTGTATGGATGATGTAATTGAGGCTTAAGACAGTTAATTAACCTATGCCAATGCATAGGTAATGTCAGAAATTAGTCTTCATTCAATTAGGACTTCAAAGTCAATGACTTTGAAAGAGACATTGACTCATTGAAAGAGACACAGTTTTAATTGGGAAAAGGCAGACATTGTTGCAGCACAATGGAGCCCCTCTGTTTTTACTTTAATAATTCCCTTCTTAATACATAACTGTGTATGTTAATAGTAAAATCATTAATATGCCAGCTTATATGATATGCTTAAACAGCTATATTTTTCGATTTTCCTATTAAAGGTAGTTCTAGTATAATTGTTTAAAGTCACAAACATGAGAATTAATTCCATTACTTATTTTTAGAAAAAAATGTAAAAAATTTTTATGTATCAAATTGTGGGGGATATGATACTGCTATAATTTACCTTCTCAACTGTAAAAGAATAAAATTAACTTGAGGTCATTCTCAATACAAATTTATCAAAGTTTTGAAAATCATGGATAGGCCAGGCACAGTGGCTCATTCCTGCAATCCTAACATTTTGGGAGACTGAGGTGACAGCACATAATTTGAGCCCAGGAGTTCAAGATTAGCCTGGAAAACATAGTGAGACCTCACATCTACTAAAACCAAACAAACAAAAACAAAACATAATGAGCTGGGCATGGTGGCAAGTGCCTGTATTCCTAGCTACTCAGGAGGCTGAGGTGGGATGATCACTTGAGCCCAGGAGTTCGATGCAGCAGTGAACTATGATCACAGCACTTCATTCCAGCCTGGGTGACAGAAAATGTCCCTGTCTCTAAAACAAACAAAAAACAAAAAATAAAATCATGAGCAAACTCACTAATCATTTTACCCTTGACAACATAAAAATGATTGGCATGATAAAATATTCACATTAAAATCAATGAATTATCACTTACTGTTGGTTTTCTGAGCAGGATGAAATATCTGCTTTATCTTTAGAAAGAAAGAAGGTGGAAGGTTTAGAGCAGCATATATATTACACATATTCCTGTTTTGGCAAACTCTGGTTTTGTTAAACAAATCTAAGTCAACAAAGTTCTGAAATAGTATTTTTCATACCAGTAGCCTCAAACTACCTTGCCAGTGGTCTGATAATGCTTTTGACATTATTTGCTTCCCACATAGTTTTTAACATGAGTAAGTAAATCATGCCCTCCCTTTCTAATCAGTCCTCCCTTCTCCTTAGGCACACTATAATCTGGATGTGGCCTTTTTGGACTGGTATTTCTATACTGACAACCCAAAACAGGTTAATTACTGTGAATGTTACCAGGATTCTGCCTTATAGTTGAACTCTTATAGTTCAGCTGTCTATGATTTTTACTTTCTAGTTATCAACTACCTGTGCCTTATTGGTTACAGGTGCAGTCTTTGGAAACCATCAGGTCTGGGAAATCTATGCCAAACTTCAGTTTTTTTCTTACGTAAAATGTAGATTTTTATATCACAGGTTTTTGCTTTGAAGACTGGAAGGGACAATGTATGTAACACCTCTAATACAATAAACACATTATGCATATAATACAAATAAATGGAAATTATCCATGTTTTTATTATCCTTTGCAATGCCTGCTAGATTGCTGAGCACATAAGATCTTTCTGTAAACATATGCTGTTCGATTGAATTGCTAATTTCTAATGGTTTAAGAGACATGTTTTTCCTTCCAGGTGCTATAGGAAAAAAAAAAATCAGTATAATCTAATTCAAGATTCATATGTTCAAGGCCTGGTTCTATTAGAGACCTTCTGGCTAAGCTTAGGAAAATACTCTAACATATGGGCTGCTGTATCCTCATCAGTTCATTGAAAGCAATACACAGAAGCCTGAAGATTTCTGTATAGCTCAATCACCCATTGTTTGCATCTGATAACCCAGAATTGTATAATAGGCCATGATGCCATGTTCTTCTCTTTGCTCTTCTCTCCCATACCCTCAACCATCTAACCTATAATCATCTTCATTGCATCAATGAAAGCAATGTCACTGTTAGTGATAGTATATTCAAGTAAAAATATTTTTTTTCTATTCCGTATAATTACATTTTATTTCTTTAAACCCACATTGATATATAGTTGAAAAGTTGGCTACCATTTTTTTTTTCCTTGCTACTTACTTAATGGTGAAGTACTGTGCTCTTTCTTGCAGGTGTTTTAAGATCAGGATGACATGGTTTTCCTAGAGTGTCTTTAGGAGGGCTGTGATGTATAATTTTATAGCCCTAGAACAAGGAAACAAAATATTTACAAAATATTTTTTTAAAAAATGTGAAAAATACCCTTATAGATGGTGTCTATAATCTTTGTCACAAACTTAAATTTTGACTCAATTGTTTAGTGTTGTTTCTAATACTTTACTATATTTATTTGATCTCACCGTTAAGACCATATTGTCCTTCTGAGGTCAAATTGTATTTCAACGTCCTGATATTTCCTTCAAACACTAACAAAGAAGTGGACTTCTTGAAGTTCAATAACTACTAGTTGGCTAACTTGCTTGGAAAATTGCAACCTATTTTCAAGACTCCCATCCCCTTATCTAGGACTTCAATCCATTCTTTAAAAGATCATTTCCATAAGCAGTGTCCCACATGGTAAGTATTAACTATGTGGATTTGGGGGTAACAGCTTTATCTCTTCTTTTTTTAAAAAAAAATTCTGGAAGCCAATAGATGATATAAAGTCCAGCAGAGTCAATAACCCCAATTCTAATTGTTATTACAGTTTCTAATACCTGTACATTCAAAACCTCTATTAGAAACTAAGAGTCTTAATTTGACTTCGTAAAAAGCAGATTTAGAGATGGCTTCAGGCTTCTACTATGATTCAATGGGTCTTTTGTACTTAGAATGATTTATCTTTTAAGGTAGGTAAAGAGTTTCAATAGGCTAATCATAGAGAAGCATGTTGAAAGTTATGGCAGGTCGGTGCTAAGCAACAAAATTGAACTCTCAGTCTGCCGGACATCAGCTATGTGCCCTCCAGGTGACCGCAGAGGAGCGGAGGAGGATCAGAAGCCCCCTCACCTCAACGATGGTTCTTTCCCCTGTGCTTCACCACACCTCCCCGTCCCTAGCCATTTCTAGTCTCCAGTCTGGGTCTTATATTTACCCTGGCTGCAGAGCACAGACCTTCCGGCAGTTGGGCCGGAGCGTTGGCGGCTGCCGCGCGCCCCTCTCACCGCGATTGTGCACTTGCCAGGCGCCGCGTGTGGGCGACGTCACCGGGCTTTATGCTTTCATCGCCGCTACCCGCCTACGTGGGCTGCTCTCCTCCTATCGCCTCCCCGCCCCCACTACGGAGAAAACCCTGCCCGTTTTCCCTTGGGAAAAGCAGAGTTCTCTTTTTCTCATTACCACCAGTTGATGAGGAAAGAAAATGTCTGTTCGCATACCTGCGCCGTACTAGGAGGAGGAGGGAGGTCGTATAAGGATTCGGATTGCCTAGTGGGTGGCTTGAAAAAGGAGGTGTTCGCATTCAGACAAGAATGCCTAAATTAACGTAATTCAATTTAAAGAGAGAATTAGGAGTCCACAGGTGCTTAAGTTTGCAATGCGCTGCCAGTATCATGCCAACCGCGCACTCCGGTTATACAGGTTGTCAGTTTCAGGTTCTCTCATAAACACTTCATGTTCTTGCCTCTCTTCCCCCGTTGGCAACAGTTTTATGGTGAGAAAATTCACGAAGAGTAACAGGAACAACTCTTATGAAAATACTCAGAATTCCTGACCCAAGGCTACTGGCTCCAAGTTTAGCAGATGTATCAAGCATTGGTTAAAGACGTGTTGCGTCTCTCAGAAGGCGGATGAGTAATAGGTGCATTTTCTTTTATTCACCGTTGTTTTCAAACTGAAAAGGAGTGAATTAGCTTATGAC